GATCTTAGAATATAGGATGGAGAATATTGGTGGGGGAGAACACAAAGGAAAGGTGGGGTAAAGGAGAAGTCCAGCAGAGGCTGCCCAGACCCTCCTGTCCCCTCCCCTGGGAAAATGGCTCATGGCTTACTCAGGCCCTGGTGTGTATATATGTATGTTGGGGGTGGGGGGCAGTGCTGGGCTGAGGAAGCAGCAGGCTTTGGCCTAAGGGAGTTGCCCTGGTGGCCAAAGACGCTCCAATCAAAAAATTTTACAGAGTTCACATATTTGGGGGTCCAGCCCTATGCTTGGCTGCCCTGTGACTGGAGACAGAAGACTAAGTTGAGTTCCCCATGTGCGTAGCCAGGGAGCCAGGATGCACAGGTAAGCAGAGAGAGTTCACGATCCTAGGGCACCTGAAGAGACAAGGATTTGGGGCCGGAGGAGTGCCAGAAACTTCCTGGAGGTAGCATTTGAGTGCATTGCAGGAGAGGCATGACTTGAAGGAGGCAGAGAGGGGCATTTCAGGGAGGAATAGGACGGACAGAATTGGAACATGTGAGAGGCCAAGGGGAACCTTCACCCACTGACTTCTGGTGTGACTTCGGGCAACTTGTTTTGAGTCTCGGCTTCTCGATCTGGACAATGAGGGTGAATCACCCTGGGACTCCCTGGGGTGTAGGTAGATGTCAAGTGTCCCATCTGTGGGGCAAGATGGCATGTGGTTTCCAGAGCCTGATTTATACTGAGTCTGGGTGGCAGAGGGTGGGGAGATGGGATAGGCTGTCCACTATTGCACCCAGCCTTGGGGGTGAGGGCAGCTACCCTCAAAGGCCCTGGTTTCCTTGCCTCCAAGCTTGTTTGCTAAACAGTCTGGGGCTTGGTGCCCTAATTCCCCATCTCTCCACACCCCCTTCCTCCCGCCCCCCTTTCCCAGCCAAACCTCTCCTCTCAACCCAGCAAGGCCAAGACTTGCCAAAGGTGACAGGAAGGGGGTGTCCATCTTGGTCCACCCAGGCATCACCTCCTCCCTGGATTTGCGGGTGTGGACACTGACTAACCTAGTCTGTGGAAAGCAAGAACTCAGAAAGGCAATTTTCTTTTTTTGGTGAGACAACTGGGGTTAAGGGACTTGCCCAGGGTCACACAGCTAGTAAGTGTCAAGTGTCTGAGATCGGATTTGAATTCAGGTCCTCCCGACTCCAAGGTTGGAGCTCTATCCACTGCGCCACCTAGCTGGCCCAGAAAGGTGATTTCTTATGGGGGGGAAAGAGGTCATGAGTCACAGATTCTGAGTTAGAAGGGACCTTAGAGATCATCTAGTCCCCCCCCTCATTTTGCAGGTAAAGAAACTGAGGCCCAGAGAATTGAAATGACTTGTTCAATGTCATGCCATAGTGTCAGAGCCAGGATTTGAATCCAGGTCCTCTGACTCTCAATCCAGTACTCTTCCCATGGCATACATCACCTTGCCTTACTGCCACAGCTGCCTCTCCAATTTCAGAGCTCCCGTCTGCCTTCCCTTCCCCAAATGGGGTTCCTCCCCTTTCAAGACTAGAGAACAACCAAGTATATTAGAAAGAGCTCTGGCTGGGCAAGTCACTCCCCTTCTCTGGGCCTCACTTTCCCCGTCTGTAAAACAAAGAAATTGGAGTCTAAGAGCCCTTCTAGCTTTAGCATGTGACACTTATTTGTAATTTAACTTCTGAACCTTATTGTAAATAGGGATGATTCTATTTACAGATCACAGGCCTGTTTCCAGGAAAGGAACTTTAAAGTTTATAAAGTATTATTAGCCACAACTCTGCTGTGTGACTTTGGAGAAATCATGTCCTGATCTGGGCCTCCTTTTATTTTTCTGTAAACTGAGGGGATTGGTCTAGATCAGGGGTTCTAAACCTGGCATCTAGTGACCCCTTGTTTGATGGATAGATTTCAGAGGGTCCATGAACTTGAATGGGAAAAAAGAAAGATCTCTTTATTTCAATAGAATTAGTTTCTTTTGTAATCCTATGTCTTTTTTGTAAATTTAGAAATAGTCCTTGAGAAGGGGACCCTAGACTTCCCCAGACTTCCAGAAAAGGTCCATGACACAAAGAAAGTCAAGAACCCCTGGCCTAGGTGGTCTCTAAGGTTCCTACACAGCTCTGATAGTCCAGGTTCTAAGGGTCCTTCCTACCTCTTAAATATCCCATGACTTTCTCTCTCTGGTTTGTCAGGACACAGTCTTGCCTCACCCCTAGGACAGCATCCTCTAATGCCCCATGGCCTGATAGTGAAAAACTCCAGGACTGATGTTACCTTGGATGCAAGAGCACATTGCTTGAATACTTCTGGGATTTCTACTTTTGTTGGTGTGGGCTCCACTGAGGCAGGTTGAGGCCGTGATCTAACTTAGCCGATAGTCTTTGGAGAGTTGCTTTGATAGAAAAGCAAATTCTTCCTTCATGGACAACTTGGTGATCAGAGGATTTTAGGGAGCCTAGATTTTGAGCTGGAAGGTACCTTAGGGGCCCTCTAGTTCAAACCCATTCTTTTACAGATGAGTAAAATGAGGCTCACAGAGATTCAGTGACTCACACAGATGAACTTCACCAAACTTAATGAAACTCTGGTCACCTCAGACCTTCCCTTTCCTCCTTTCCTCCTCTCTCCTTCCCTTATCCACCCTCCCTTCCCCTCTTCTCCCTACCATGTGCCAGGCACTCTGCTGAGCTCTGGGTATATGAAGGAAGGCAAAAGACAGTTCTTTCTCTCAAGGAGGTCACAGTCTAATGGGGAGACAACAGGCAGACAATCATATACAAACAAGTTATGTACAGGATAAATAGGAAATAATCAATAGAGAGGAAGGCACTAGAATTAAGAGGGTTCGAAAAGGCTGACTTTATCTGGGGCTTGGAAGGAGCCAGGGAAGCCAGGAGGTGGAGATGAGGAGGGACAGGGCCTTCAAGAGTCCAGGGTCACCTCCCTACTGGGGTGAAACATCAGCATGGGACTTCAAGGGAAGAGGACACCACCATTTATACAACCTTTGCTTGCCCATAACATCCTGTGACCTTCACAACAGTCCTAGGATGGAGGTCAAGGAGGTGCCTTATTTCAACACTTCACAGGTGAGGAAAATAACAGCTAGAGAGGGGAAGGGTACTCGCCCAAGGTCACACAGTGAGTCAGCGTCAAGAGTCAAGATTGGGTCAGGTGTATTTTCCCCTAGGTCCTGGGCAGAAGAGTTGGGGTTCATGGCAGCTCAGGCCCCCTCGTGGCCAGTTCTCCAGCCTCTGTGAGAGGAAAAAGGGAAGAGAACAAGAGGTGGTGTGAGCCCCCATCCCTCCATCAGGGCCTGGGGGCACCTTGGTGGAGAGCTTCCTTATGAGGTCACTAAATAGTAGCATGGTAATTAGAGCACAAGGTTTGGATTCAGGAAGAACATTAGAATCCTGACTCTGACACTTACTAGCTGTGTGACGCTGGGCAAGACACTGAACCTCCACCAGCCTCAGTTTCCTCATCTGTGAAAATGGGAATGATAATAATAGGACCTACCTTAGGATTGTTGTAAAGGTCATATGAGAGAACATGTAATGTACTTTGCAAGGCTGGATATATTTATATATATATATATATATGTTATATATATGTATATGTGTGTGTGTATGTATATATACATATATGTTATATATATGCTAGCTATTGTTATTGTTTTCCAGACAGATGTCTTTCCGGTCCCCTCTTTCTAATTACAACTTAGTTATAGAATTATCGGTGCTGGCAGAGTGCTTAGTTCAGCCCCTTCGTTTTATAGAATAGTAATGATGAAGAAGATGGAGGGCAGAGAGGTTAAATCACACAGGTAGAAAATGGCAGATCTTAGATTCGAACCCAGGTCCTCTGATTCCAAATCCAGTACATTGAGCAGTAAGACTCTGGACCTTGAGTCAGAGGACCTGAATTCAAATCCCATCTCTGCCATTTACTTGCTGTGTGACCTAGGGCTAATCGTCTAACCTCTCTGGGCCTTAAATGTTCCTATCTTAGATGGTTTCTGAGGTTCCATCCACCTCTAAATTATGCTCCAAATGCCGCCTGGAATGTCCTATGAATTTCCAAATCCCGTGTTTTTTAGGTGGGTTGGATATATGGGACAGGGTTAGAACAGAGCTGTGTTTTCCTCCACTGGACTACAACCCAGACTGGGCCTTTGCGCTTTCCATGCCCTTTTCCCTTCCTCTGCCCCTCCCCAAGCCCTTCCACCCTAAAGGCTCAGCTCAAGCTCACTCCGCTCCCAAGCAGGCTCTCCTGACTACTGTGTACTGCGATGCTCTCCCCACCCCCTTGAGGCCACCCCAGTGCACTGGCCCGAGAACAGGAGGCTGAGGAGTCAGAGACCCAAACTGGCCTTCAACCAACATCAAATCAACTTTATTCAGAGGTAGCCCAGAAAGCCAATCACATACGGTTTTGCACTGCTTCCCAGTCCTCCCAGTGTGCCTTCTCATCTTATCACCCCCCACCCAACCCCTATCTTGGGCCGGGCCTGGGGTCAGCCTGCTTTTAGTATCTCAAACTCAGGTGAAGGTTAGAAGGTGGAGAAGGATGTTGATATGAAGGGAGGGCCACTGCAAGGTTAACTTAGTCTGAAGTTTTGGAAGGTGCATTATTCCCAAAGTTGGTGGGCCCTCCTGAAGGCAGAGGCTACATCACTACCTACTGAGTGGAGTCAAGGCAGCAATAGAGACTGGTTCCTGGAAATCCTCTCCCCACACCCCCTACCCCAAATCAGTAGCTTTGGGGGGCAGGAACTATGTCCCTCCCTCTCATCCTTTCTTCCCTTCCTTTCAGCTCTAAATCTAGGCTTTTTCCTTCCTTCCTTCCTTCCTTCCTTCCTTCCTTCCTTCCTTCCTTC